CTTACACCTCCCATGGGCACTGCGGTGAGCACACAGCCTGGGTCCTGCGCTGCTCCTCAGGCATTATCCTGGCACTGGCAATCTCGGGGGGGGAGTCATTTCCTCCTGAGGAGCTCCGTGTGCTAGTGAGGTCTGACCAGCCCCTGCACCAGGACTTGGCTCCCAGTACTGGTGCAGTTGAGCCTGGGAGACATCTCCTAGGTGTTGACAGCAGGGTGGGAGGCACGGCTGCTTGAGGCAGCCACTCTGGCCATCTGAGTCTGTCTGAGCACCCATCTGTGTCCTCCATCTCCATCTTCCCTTCCCCAGAGCACTCGTGGTTGTTGGTCTCCTGGTCCTTATCCATCTCCCTTGACACACTCCCTGCTGTTGCTCTGAATATCCTCATAGCTTGTCCCCAGAGCCATCTCCTTCCCTAGAGATGGAGGCAGGAGGGCCCGTCCAGCCCCTGTGTAACCCGGCTTTGTCTCGCAGGCATCCTGCGCGAGGACGGCACCATCCAGAACGAGCTGAGCTGCCAGCGCCTGGCACAAGTGGCGCTGGCCTATGCCAAAGCAGGTGAGGGTCCCCCGCAGCGGTACCCAGGCTCAGACCTGTCCCCTCTCCCTTTCAGCTGGACACAAAGCAAACGGGGCCTGGCTCCAGCTGGGAAGGATTTGTTCCAAGATGGGGGAGCTGCAGGCAGCCGGGACCCCCTCAGCACTGGGGTCTCCTGCTCCTTGTACAGGCAAAGCCAAAGCCTCAGGCACTCCTGTGTCTGTTTCCCTGCAGGCTGCCACATCGTTGCCCCCTCAGATATGATGGACGGGCGCATTGCAGCCATGAAGGCAGCGCTGATCTCCAATGACCTGGGCAACAAGGTGAGCTCAGGATCTGCATGAGCCAGAGGCAGGAGTGATGATCACAGGGAGCCTGTGCCACCACGGGACCTGGGAGAGCAGTGGGGGAAGCAAACCCCTGCCTTGCCCAGGATGTAGGGACAGGCCAAGGCGAATGGCTTTAACCTGCCAGAGGGGAGACTGAGATGAGCTCTTAGGCAGAAGCTCTTCCCTGGGAGGGTGCTGAGGCGCTGGCACAGGGTGCCCAGAGAAGCTGTGGCTGCCCCATCCCTGGCAGTGTTCAAGGCCAGGTTGGACACAGGGGCTTGGAGCAAGCTGCTCTAGTGGAAGGTGTCCCTGCCCGTGGCAGGGGTTGGAGCTGGAGGAGCTTTAAGGTCCCTTCCAACCCAAACCACTCTGTTATTCCATGTGCCACAGGCATTCCATGTGAGCACAGGAGGGGAATGTCCTTGACTGGATGTGGGGACGCTGAGGTGCCAGGGCTCTGGCATGGAAAGGTGGATGTGTTACAGATCAGCCATGGGAGGGAATCGCTTCTGCCCTGTTGCTGGGATGCAGCACCCTCCTTCTGGCCCTCACAGCTCCGCTCTCCTCTGCAGGTCTCGGTGATGAGCTACAGCGCCAAGTTTGCTTCGTGCTTCTACGGTCCCTTCAGGTGGGTCTGTCCCTCAGCCGGGAGCTGCATTCCCAGGCAGTTGTTTGGGAAGAGGGCTTGGTCAGAGCCTGGGACCATTCTGGTCACTTTGGAGCACACTCCTCCTGCTTCCCAATGGGAAAGGGTGATAAATGTACCTTGCCCAGGAGAGGCAGCCTGGGGGGAAGATCGGGGTGGGACAGAGACCACCTTGGTCACTTGCTTGTCCAGGGCATTGGTGGCAATGCAGGTACATAGGGAGCTGCCAGAAGCAGTGAGGAGGGCAGTTACAGGAGCTGGTGTTGCCCCAAAGGGTGGCTTCAGGGACAAGCTCAGCTTGGTCAGCTGGTAGACCTTGTCCCAAGAACAGCCTGACCCTGGTGGGGCATCCCTGAGGAACCTGCCTTGGAAAAGAGCAAAAGGAAAACATCTGACACGATTTCACCCCATCTGGGCATGGGGAGGGCAGTGGGTGCTGAAGCACAGCTCAGCCTGGCCTGTTGTACCTCCCCAAGTGATCCTGGGGCACAAAGGTGCGTCAGGAGACACCCCTCAGGTGATTGTCCTGGTCTGTGGTCATGTTTCTGAAGCTGTATGAGGTGGGAGGCAGGGGGAGCAGTGCTGGTCCTTCATCCCCTGCCCTGCCTCGCCTCTCACCAGGGATGCTGCTCTATCCAAACCTGCCTTTGGGGACAGGCGATGCTACCAGCTGCCGCCGGGCGCCAGGGGCCTGGCCATGCGTGCTGTGGTGAGTGAGGGGGTGAGCGGGGCTGGGGCTGTGGGGACCAGAACACCCTCCTGTGGGGTGACAATTCCTCAGCAGGGCTTGGGGAGAGCAAGGTCAGGAGTCAAAAGGGAGCAGGAGGCAGCAAAATGGCCACGGGTCTTCCCCTTCAACAAGCAAGTTAAATGAGGCCCATCAGCCTGCAGAGCTGGTGCCCAGCGCAGGCCCGAGGACTGGGCTGGGAGCTGTGGAGTTGGTGATCCCATACCCTGCTGTGGCTTGGGCTGTTGGGTCATGGATCCCAGCCTGGTCTGTGTTGGAAGGGACCTTAAGGCTCATCCAGCTCCAACCCCTGCCACGGGCAGGGACACCTTCCACTAGAGCAGCTTGCTCCAAGCCCCTGTGTCCAACCTGGCCTTGAACACTGCCAGGGGTGGAACAGAGCCACAGAGCCATTGCCTCCCCCAGCACCGGGTGTCTGGCAGGGAGGGGGAGGAAGCTTTGCCTCCCCCATCACAGCCCCTCTGTGGGCTCTTGTGGGTGAAAGCATGGACCTGCTGGAACGTTCTTGTACCCGAGCTGCTGGGGTTGTGCGTTCCCCTCACAGGACCGGGACGTGCGGGAGGGAGCCGACATGCTGATGGTGAAGCCGGGGATGCCCTACCTGGACCTTGTGAGGGACGTCAAGGCTCGAGTAAGCTCCCGCAGCCGGGGAGGGCGCTGGGTGTCCCCAGGGGGGTGAAGGTGTGCGGTGGGGAGGGCCGGTTGGGACCTGTCACTGCGGGCCTCACGTTGGGGTTGGGGCTGGTGCTGCCGTGTGAGGGGGGGGCAGCGGACACGAGGCCTGAGCCCGCCGCTCCCCGCAGCACCCCACGCACCCGCTGGCCGTGTACCACGTCTCGGGGGAGTTCGCCATGCTGTGGCACGGGGCCCAGGCCGGTGCCTTCACCCTGGAGGCCGCGGTCCGGGAGGCGGTCACGGCCTTCAGGCGCGCAGGTGAGACAGAGCCCCCGCCCCGGGCCCGGGCCGCTGCCGCCGCGGGGCCGCTCCACCCGCCCGCTCTCTCCGCAGGAGCCGACGCCATCATCACCTACTTCACCCCGCAGCTGCTGCGCTGGCTGCGGGAGGAGGCGGCGGCGGGGCGGGCCTGAGCCGGGCCGAGCTTCCGGGGCGGGCAGCGGCGCTTCCGCGGCAGAGGTGGGTGCGGGACGGGGGCTGCCGCTGGGTCCCGGTGGCGCCTGGGCCCTTGCGGGCAGTCGCGGCCGCCCCGCTCCTCCCCTGCCCAGCTCCGGTACGGCCCCGCGGAGCCCTCGCACCCAGCCCCGGTACAGCCCCGCGGAGCCCTCGCACCCGGCCCCGCTGCGGCACCCACGGTGTGGGGCGTTCAGGGCCCGCCCTGGGACACCTTGCACCGCGGGCCTGCGAGCGGGGCGGCCCCCCCCGGCAGTGTCCGTGACCCTGAGCCCTCCCGAGGGACGCGGGTGTGATGCGGGCCAGGGGCCGGTTCCCGCACTCCTGCGACAGTGACCGGCGTGAGCCTGCACCGCCCCCGGCTCTGCCCTCCCCGTTGCCCCGGGTCTCCCGCTGCGCCGAGCTGCGCTGAGGCCATGCTGCGGCTCCGCTTGCTGACGTGGGACGTGAAGGACACGCTACTGCGACTGCGGCAGCCCCTGGGGCACAGCTACGCGGCCGAGGCCCGGGCTCACGGCGTGCGGGTGCAGCCGGAGGCGCTCAGCCGCTCCTTCCGGGAGGCGTACGGGGCCCAGGGCCGGCGCTTCCCCAACTACGGGCAGGGCCGGGGGCTGAGCTCCCGGCAGTGGTGGGTCGATGTCGTCAAACAGACCTTCAGGCTCTCGGGCGTGCAGGACGAGAGCGTCCTCACGGCCATGGCCGAGAAGCTCTACCGCGACTACTGCAGCGCCCGCAACTGGGAGCCGCTGCCGGGCGCCAGCGAGACCCTGAGCCAGTGCTGCCGGCGCGGCTTCCGCATGGGGGTCGTGTCTAACTTCGACAACCGGCTGGAAAGCATCCTCTGCCAGTGCGAGCTGCGGCACCACTTCGACTTCGTGCTCACGTCCGAAGCCGCGGGCTGCGCCAAGCCGGACGCGAGGATCTTCGAGCAGGCGCTGCGGCTCGGCGGGGTCTTGCCCCGGCAGGCAGCTCACGTCGGGGATGACTACAGCCGGGACTACAGGGCAGCGCGGGCCGTGGGCATGCACAGCTTCCTGCTCCGGGCTGCGGGGCAGGGCGAGGAGCCGGAGGTGCCTCCCGAGCACGTCCTGCCCGCGCTGAGCCACCTCCTGGCTCTGGTTGAGAAGGAGTAGCTGAGTGCAGGGGAAGAGCCGGTGCTGCTGAGCCGTGAACTGGCCCCAGCGTGGGGTTTCTTGCTGCTGGTTGGGCAGGGAGCAGTGCTGCCTGTGGACGGGAGAGGGGTCCTGCAATAAAGCGTACCTGACACTAAGCATTGCTGCTGCTGCTGCTTTTATAGCTCTCAAACACTGGGCAAGGTGAGCGGTGGTATCTGTGCCTCACAGCCGGGGCCTGGGTCAAGCTGCGTTCCACAGGCTCCTTCTGGCAGGAGGGATGGAAGCAGCCTTTGAGGTTTATGCCTTCGCAGTCACACTGGGGAGAGGCTCCAGCAGCCCCGGGTTGGTCTGTCACAGGTTGTCTGTCCATGCAGGGCACCCACACGCAGTCCTGATCACCTCAGTGTACCCCAGACTGACCACCTCACCACCCCCGCCACCCTCTTCCCAACAGTGGCTGTGGGCCTCCTGCTGCCAGCAAAACAGAAGTTGGGCAATTTCACTTCATTTAATGTACTGCCAATTAAACTGTACCAATTTGGGCACTGAGTAATAAAGATGTCAAATTTCATACAGGGAAGCACCTTTCCTACCCTTCTCCCTTGGCTCAACTTCAGCCCAGCACCTCTCCTTCCTCCGGGCCTAATATCAGCTCCCTGGGGTTTTGCCACATTACACTGAACCCTCAAACTGTTGGCAAGGTAAGGAGCAGCTCAGGTGGGGTTTGTGCTCTCCTTGCTGCTTCCTCCCTGACATGGGCTCCTCCATGGACCACAGCCCCTTGGGGTGCCCCTGCCGTGGCATAGGTCCGCACAGGTGACAGCCCCCTGCCCTGTCCCTGCTCCTCCCAAAGCATGTCACCAGCTGGGTCCCACTGATGTCCCTTTCCATGTTCCTCCTCCCTTCTGTTCCTCCAAACACATGTCCAGAGCTGTCAAGTCAAGCAGGAAACATTCCCTATTTCTCCTTTATGAAGCCCACCATCAGGCGGGGAGCTGCCTTTGGTCAGAGAGGAATTAAATAACAGAACAAAGAGCCAGGCATCACCCTGACCCCTTGCCCTGGCAGACAGGGTGGGTGATCCTCCCCGAGGAGGGAAAAGCTGCTGTCAAACACATGGAGAAAACATGTAGTCTGAAGGCAGGTCCTGTGTGGTCTTTTTCCCCACAAAGGTACTGTATAGTGCATATACAGTCACTGTACATACAATTGTATTCACCCCCTCAGTGAGCACAATGCTGCGCTCACTGGACAAGCGAGATGCTCTCGTGTGCCACAGCGAAGACAGGGTACAGAGGCTCTGTGAAGGTCTCCCTATGGGAGAAGAGGATGGTGCAGGAATCGGGGTCGTAAAAGAACACCTCCCCTCCTGCCAAGTCAAGCAGGACCCCGATCTCTGCCGGAGCCTTGAGCAGCTCCACAGCCTGCAGGCGCCCGGCGTGCAGGAACCTGAACTCCCTGTCGTAGCGCGAGAAGACCCAGGAGGCAGCGTTGAAGCCCAGGCGGGCTTCGTTGGCAGAGCCCTTCCGTGGCAGGGAGCTGTAGCAAACCCCCAGCTTGTAGGCACAGCTCTTGTCCACGCTGATCCTCCATGCACAGACTCCCGACTGGAAACCTGCAGTAGCCAAAGCGTTGGGCCAGTGGTCAAACCGCTCAGGGCTGTCCAAGTCCACCTTTGCTTTCTTGGGGCTGAAGGTCAGCGTTTTCTTGTCCTCCGACAGGCTGAGGTGGGGGCTGAGTGTTTTCTCATCGATGTGAATCTCCTGTGAGCCTGCAAGAGGAGCCACACTGTGAGCACCGGCTCGGTGGCCACCACCTGAACCACCTGAAGAAGTCCCGGCCCTCAGAAACACAATCACAACCAACCTCCCCTCGCACATCATTCCTGAGAAACCCATCTGTCCCCCCGGGGTGACACGGGGCCAGGACAGCTGCCCCTCTCGAAGCAGACTCAACAAAGCCCAGACTTTACCTGTCACCTCTCCCTCCTTGCACTACAAGTGCTACCGAGTCAGAGATCACAGAATCAGAGTGGTTTGGGCTGAAGGGACCTTAAAACTCCTCCAGCTCCAACCCCTGCCACAGGCAGGGACACCTTCCACTAGAGCAGCTTGCTCCAAGCCCCTGTGTCCAACCTGGCCTTGAACACTGCCAGGGATGGGGCAGCCACAGCTTCTCTGGGCACCCTGTGCCAGCGCCTCAGCATCCTCACAATAAGTGATTTCTTCCTAATGTCTGATCTAAATCAGCCTTTTCAGTTTGAATCCCACATTGTCTTATCACTACTTGCCCTTGTCCAAAGCCCCTCTCCAGGTTTCCTGTAGCCCCTTTAGGCACTGGAGCTGCTCTAAGGTCTGCCCAGAGCCTTCTTTTCTCCAGGCTGAACAAACACTGCTCATCTTACTCTGTCCCATGCCCAGATCCCCACAGATCAGAACTCCACAGGTTTGGCTCATCCCACTTTTGGGAGCGACCCAAACCTCAGCTCCCATGTCCCTTCCCACCCCCGCTGTGGGTGCGCAGGACCTGACTTCTCCCCTAGCCCGGGTGAGTCAGGAGCCTGCCCCAAGGAGGGAGGGCTCTTTGCAGAAATCCTGCAGAGCTGGAAATACAGGAACGAGGAGGAATGGAGAGGGCTGGGCAGGGAAATCCCTTGCCTCCTATAAAGCCCAAGTTATTTGTGAACCGAGCATGCTGGGAACAGTGGAGGGAGGAAGCACCGGGCATTAGAGACAAGCACGACCGTGATTTGGTTTTGCTGTGAATGAAGGCGCTGCCCTTGCACCACAGCACAAACCCAGTGAGCTGCAGCACAGGGCGAGAGCCAGGCTGGCTGCAGGACACTGGCACCCACCAGGGCTCTGCACCACTGCAAACCCATGGGTGAGAGCACCCAGCACTGCTCACCCTGCATGAAACCCCTCAGCAGACCGTGTGTGAGTCCTGAATAACTACACAAGTGTCTCCCACCTCTGTAAATCCAAGAGATGAGGCCAATGCCCACCTGACTCACCCGCTCCCAGGGGACAGAGTTTCTACCTGTGGGTGCCCCTCCTTGCCCTGCCTTCCTCTGCCCTCACTGCACCCATTTTATGTCTTAAACTGCCAAGGAAACAAGGCTGGAGCAGGTGAGTCATTTGCCAGCAAGAGCTGTACCATATCACAGAATCCCAGCCTGGTTTGGGTTGGAAGGGACCACCTTCCACTAGAGCAGCTTGCTCCAAGCCCCTGTGTCCAACCTGGCCTTGAACACTGCCAGGGATGGGGCAGCCACAGCTTCTCTGGGCACCCTGTGCCAGCGCCTCAGCACCCTCACAGGGAAGAGCTTCTTCCTAAGAGCTCAGCTCAGTCTCCCCTCTGGCAGGTTAAAGCCATTCCCCTTGGCCTGTCCCTGCAGGCCTTTGTGAACCCCAAACCTAAGCAACACAGAAGCCTGGATGCCAAGTGAAGACATCAAAGGAATCGTGTTTATTTTTGAGTGTGAAGTGAAGGCTGTTTCCTGCTGGCCTGCAGGTTTTTGAGAGGCTACAGCACAAGCCCTAGAGGCCAGGACTTTCCAAGCAAAAAACCAAGACTGATGCCTGTTCAGCTGTCTCTGGAAGGAGGGACCACCATGTGAAACACAACATTACTGTCTCTGGAAGAAAGCTAGGACCACCACAGTTAATCTCTAAGGCTAGGTCCTGGGTGCACTACGGACTAATGAGGTATGCAAGGGTATGGCAGGCATCCTCGGCATGCAGTAATGGCACATCAAACGCAACAACAGACAAAAACGCACCCAACTAAAGCCAAACAATGAACTGTGTGTGAAGTGCACCACTACAAAAGCCGAATGCCTGAGAGCCATTCCATTTCATAGGGAGGCTATGGGGAGAGGAATCCAACAATAAAAACCTGTGAAAACAAAGAGAATCACTGAAAGGTTTCCTGCTTGACTCGAGATGTTCCAAGCACAAGAGTCTGCACAACTGCCAGCACTCAGACACCAAGAGGGAAATTAATCCCAAAGGAAGAGCTAGACCATGGTTTGCAATAGAAGAAATGAATGATGATGGTGTTTGGTCCTGAAGCTAACACACAAAACCACAAGAGCAATGAAAGCCAGAAGTGCACACCTTTGAGAAGGACCTGGAAACAGGGAAAACTGGGAACAGGCAACACTGGAAACTGCTCACCAGCATCAAAAGTGAGATGAGCCAAAATGAGAAGTTCATGCAGAAGCTTTGAAAGGTCACCCCCGGGCCGGCTCACCAGGCAGCAAACGGGACAAATGTTCTCTGGCTGTGAAGGATGGTGCCACCTTTGAGGAACAAAGGAAGCAATTGAAATGCTCTAACGTTGGCCTGAAAGCGGGAGCAAAAGCAAACGTTTCCCAGCCAGCCACTGGAGCAGAGCAGAGCCGGAAGCAAACCCTCATCCCTGCTCAACACAGCCAACACCAGCCTGGTAAAACCTGCCCAGAGCACAAACACCTCCCATGGAACCTCTGTACAGCAAGAGCTGAACAAACCTCGGGGGTGCGGAGCCACAGCCTCACCTTAGGATCAGAAAGCTCCTGCATTCCCTCCCTTCTCACTCCAGCAGGTCAGTGTCTCACAGACACCACATGGGTGACTTCACCTCTTAAAATCACCAGCAGGCCAACGCTGGACACAGTGAAGAACTTCTGTGACAGATTCCTACAGCAGCACCAGCTTCAGTGCTGACAGCAACCCAGGGAACAGCAAAAGAAACCAAGTGGGCTAAGCCACAGGGCTGATACAAGGCACAATCCTGCCAAAGCCCAGCTCTCCTCCTAGCCAAAACCAGCTGCTTGCAGCCCCTATCCCCCCTCCCCAACCACTGCTGCCTCCCTGGCTGGAGGCTCCAAACAACTGGCAGGGGCTGGGCAGGACGCAGCATCAGGGTGTTTCTTTGGGCACAACGTGAATGGGTGTACAGGAATGCCCAGGGAGTGTGGGACCTGCAGGAGACACTGACCTGTGGTGCAGCAGAGAACAGCAGAGGCCCACAGTCGATGCAGCAGTGGACTCTGAACACACGTCTGGTTAAAGTTTAACTTCAGGGACTCCTGTGGCTCTAAGATTCCCTCCGCCACCTCTGTCCTAGCAAGGGAAAAGTATTTTGAAAGACAATGACTTATTGACCAGAGCTGGGAGGTGTTTATAGAGATCACCAGAGGTTATGGCAGAAATGTGAGCTGGAGCAGTTGCAAGAGGAGCACAGAGCAGCTACAGCAGGAATTCCTAGACAAGCTCTTATCATAAGTGGTAGTTTCGGTTGGCTTCAATTACAGCCCCTTCTGAAAGGACTTCAGTGTTTTAAGTACAATCCCAGCAGCCTGAGCCAACAGCCTCCTCAATCCCTGACACAGAGCAAAAGCATCTGAGAGCAGGCATTCAGGTACAAGAGGAGCACAATGAAGAGGCTGCTGGGAGAGAGTCAATTCGCCCCGCACCAACAAAGGCTGGCTCAGAGCAGGGGGGATGCAACGAGAGCAACTTCAGATTTCACAGAGCATAGCCAGGAGATGCTGGGCTCCCATGGCCTGCAGCACACACAACTCATGGCTGCTAGTAAAGGCTCTGGCACAGGCTGGGGCACATTTCCTGCTCTCCATAGGTAGGGTCCAGGCAAAAATACCCCTGAAAGTCCTCTGGGCAGCAAAGTCCAGCCAGTGCCAGGCAGCAGCCTTGTAGCAGCCCCAGAAATCAATGCCTGTAAAATGCAGCCACCACACTGCCTTCTCAGGCAAGGGCAGCACCGTGCTACTGGTGATGACTGTTAGAAATCCCAGAATCCCAGCCTGGTTTGGGTTGGAAGGGACCTTAAAGCTCCTCCAGCTCCAACCCCTGCCACGGGCAGGGACACCTTCCACTAGAGCAGCTTGCTCCAAGCCCCATCCAACCTGGCCTTGGAATGCTGACATCAGCCCTTGGTTCACCCCTCAGTGCATCCTGCCTCTCAGGGAAGGAGGCAGCACAGGTCTGGGCATGCTGCTGCTCTGGGCAATGTGGTGCCAGCAGCAACCCCAGGCATGGAGCACTCCAGCTCTGGGGATGGACCATCCCATCTGCTGCCATGAGGCCAGGGTCAGGCATGCTCCATCTCCCTGTGAGCCCCGTGGAATTTTGTGGGGAGCTGGAGAAGGTCCAGTGCATCCAAAAAGACATTGTGCATACAGTGCTTCTAGGTGCCAGACACCTCTGTCTCTAGCAGCATGTGAAGCAGAGACAAGAGGGATCTCTATTGTGTGTCCTTGAACCCCACAAGAGCAGCATGAGGGAGGAAAGAGGGGTGTCACCAGCTGCCTGAGCAAGGGCATGCTGCTCACAGTGGGAGCCAAGGGGTGCAGGCAAGCTTGGAGCAGGGAAAGGACCGGGAGCAGTCAGGTACTAACCTCTCGAAGATCTCTTGTTCCGCATGCTGGGGACAAGGAGAGAAAGAATCATCACAGCAGCAATGCCCATAGATAAAACCCCAAACCCAGGCTGGGCACTGCAAACCCAGGCAGCACTGTTCTCTCCTGAGCCACAGAAACCACTCCTCAGTGCTTGCCATGGGGAGCAGGGGGAACCAGCACCCATTTTATCCTGCTGCAGCACTTTCCCCTCCCTGACTCAGGACTCAGCCAGCCCTAATTCCACACCCTCTGATAGGCACCAGCCTGTCTGCATCTGACAGATGCACTGCACCCTGCCTTGCCCAGAGCATGAGAACCCCAGCCCTGAGGTCCCCCTGTCCCTTATCCCATCAGGGCCCCAGCCCTGAGGTCCCCCTGTCCCTTATCCCATCAGGGCCCCAGCCCTGAGGTCCCCGTCCCTTATCCCATCAGGGCACGCTGCAGGAACACCCTGTGCTTGCAGCAAACACCCCCCCAAAGCTGTCAGTGAGGGGTGAAGCTGTGGAGGACCCGAGTCAAGAATCAACCAACCTCCTGGTCAGTCCCTCTTGTTTCTGCACCCGCTGGCAGGGTACAGCTCCATTGATAAAGTGCTAGGAGAACATTTGATCCCTGCTCAAATACGAGCTGCAGGGTGCCCTGCGTGCCTTTCACTGCCCTGCAGCATGACACATATCGATGCCTGACAGATGCAAGCACCAACACCAACATCCCAAGGTGGGGAATGTGTGAGCCCCACTTTCTCTCCACTACATGGCAAAAGGAGAAACTGAGGGTCTCCCTGTTCTCTGCCACAGGCATAGGATGGATCTTGCTTTCCACCCCCTGCTCTCCCCAGTGAGGCCGCAGCCCAACCAGCCAAGAGGCTGTGGCAGGACTGGAGCTGCATTCCCACCACAGGAGCAGCATCTGCCTTCTGCCCACAGGATCCAGCAGAGCTGCTGCCCCCCCTTCACGAGTTACACCCGACAAGCAGAGGCTGAGAGCAAGGCAGGAGGTGCATGCCTCCAAGGACTTGCCTCAGTAAACCGAGATGATTTAACAGCCAGAGGAGGAACTGAGCAAAGGGAAGCACTGGCTGCTCTGCGCAGTAAATATCCCCAGCAGAGATGGGCCAGGCAACAGGGCAGGCTCTCCGGATGAGCTGCAGGTGCTCCCGAGGGTGAACTGAACAGAGCCCTAGAAAACTGGTGACTCCATTAACCCAGAGCTGTCCTGGCTGTCCAGCCAAAGGGCATCTGAGGGCTGGCAGCTTCAAGCTTCAGGCTGGGAGACCTGAGCCTGGGTACTTCTGAACCTCACTGCAAGCAGAAGCAGCAGTGGGCAGAGCCGATGCTCTAGGACTACAGGGGCTTGAGCCAGGTGGAGGAGCCACCGGTTCCTAGCTTAAGGAACCAGGTGAAGGAGGTTCCTTGAGCTAGATCTGCAAACGTAGGTCCTGTCTGGCTCTGCCTCCCCTCCATGCTATCAGTGCAGCAGGCTGCCGAACACTGTATTTAAGACCCATCATTAAAAGCTTAGGTCACTGCTGGGCTGGCTGCGCTGGCCCTGGGTACAAGCAGCAGTACTCACCACCAGGCCCTGGTCATCCAGGCTGGTGATCATGTCCACCAGGTAGGTTCGGAGGGCAGCCAGCTTCTGCAGGGCCTCGCTCCAGTGCAGCCGCTGGGTCAGGATGCTCTGGTGCGCCCGCTCCTCCTCGGCGTGCACCCTCTCCAGCAGCCGCTGCTCCTCGTTCTCACACGCGTTCCCCACGAAGATCAGCCTCTGGATCACCCGCTCCCGCGCCACGCTGGCTGCGCTCTGCCGGGGCCAGGGGACACGAGCCCTGCTCAGCCCCGCCAGCAGCACCGACGGCTCCTGCCGGCTCTGCCCGCGGCTGAACCACCCCGCACCGAGCCCCGGCCCCAGGCACCCCCGGGACTCACCAGGACGCCCTGGTCCTTGGCCGGCAGCACCTCGTCCACGTGCCGGGCGATGGCAGCGCTCTGCAGCTGGAGCCGCTCGCACCGGTCCACGATCTTGTTCTGGAACACAACAGGGGGGGCCGTCGGGTGACCCATCCCATAGCCCCCCATGGACCGCACCCTGCCGGGCTCCCCACAGGCGGCCCTCATTCCCTCTCACAGCCCCACACCTCAACAGGGACCCCCCGAGCTCACAGCCTGCCAGGAGGCACCTGTAGGAAGCCCCCATCCCCACAGGGACCCCTCACACGGTCCCGCACCACATCAAGACCGCCCCGGACGGCCCCAGACCCAGACCCGCCCCACCCCAGGCAGCCCCGCACGCCCCGCGCTCCCCTGGGCACCGAGGAAAGGGCCCGGCCCGAGACTGAGGCATCCCCGGGGCAGGGTCCATGTCCCGGTCCCGGTCCCGGTCCCGGTCCCGATCCCGGTCCCGGTCCCGATCCCGATCCCGATCCCGGTCTCGGTCTCCGCCGCCGCTCACCCTCAGCTCCGTCGCCCGCTCCGCCAGCGGCCGCGGCTCCCGGCCCCGCTGGGCCATCCTGCGGCCCCGCACCTGCCGCTGGGCGGCGACGGCCCCGCCCGGGCCTCCCGCACAGCCCCGCCCCGCCCCGGCACGGCTCCGGTACGGTACCGGTACGGCACGGCACGGCACTGCACTGCACGGTACGGTACTGCACTGCACTGCACTGCACTGCACGGTACGGTACGGCACTGCACTGCACGGTACGGCACTGCACTGCACGGTACGGTACGGTACGGCACTGCACTGCACTGCACTGCACGGTACGGTACGGCACGGCACTGCACTGCACTGCACTGCACGGTACGGTACGGCACGGCACTGCACGGTACGGTACGGCACGGCACTGCACGGTACGGTACGGCACGGCACGGCACGGCACTACACTGCACGGTACGGCTGCCGAGGAGCCGGGCGGCGCGGACGGGATGGTTCGGGACAGACGTCGGGGCCCCGCCCGCTCCCGGTGAGTGCACGGCGGGAGCGGCCCCACAGGGCGGGTTCCGGGCCCGCGCTGGCTGCCCCAAGGCCTCGCCGTGGGGCCGGCCCGGCTGCAGGGACCCGCACGGTCCCCGTGCCCTTCCCAGGGGCTGCCCCGGCTGTAGCGACCTGGTCTGTGCCCACAGCGCACCCCCCAGGCCCTCGTCCTGCTGTGGGGCTCCCCATGGACAGGGGCTCGGGATGCTCCCGTTAGCATCCACCGGGGCATCTCCGCTGTAGAGACCCAGGTCAGCACCGTCTGGGTACCCCCAGCTACAGAGACCTGCGTTGTTGCCATGGGTCCTTCTTGGCTATAGGGCTCCAGGTCATCGCTGGGGGGTCAACCCAGCTATAGGGTCCCACATCATCACCATGGGGTCACCCCCAGCTATAGGGCCTTGGGGCTGCCCCTGCATCCACCCCCTCTCCTGAGGGATGTTTAATACCCTGTGAAAACAGGGAGGAAGCTGCCGTGACTCCTGTGCTCACTGCTGTGGGTACGGTTGTTTCCCTATTCCATGGTTTGGATCCACAGCAGCGCCTCAGGCTGAGGCAGCAGCGCTGGTTATGCTTTAAATACACTGTAGTAAAACATGGGTTTGGTCTCTGAGGCAACGCACGGGGGGAAGGGAGGATGGGAGATCCTCCAGAGGGAAAATCAGCCTTCCAGAGGGGCAGCTTCGTACGGATCAGCTGCTGCAGGGTCCCTGTGTTATCAGAGAGCTTTGCGATGGACCGGGCTCATGGAAAACGTGCAGGGAAGCCCCAGGTGAGCATCCTGCAGCTGCGGCTCTTGTTCAGGGCTCAGCAAAACCTGCGGTGGGCAGGGGGCAGGAGCAGGCAGGTGGGCACAGACAGACCCTGCTCGCTGCCGCTGGCAGCTCTGTGCCCTGGGGCACGGCTCTGGGCTGTCCTGCAGGCAAGGGGGATTGCACTGAGCACGAGCAGGACCCTGAGGGCTGGCTGGGACACAGCAAGGACCGCGATTAAAACATCGGAATTTAGGTTTTAACCTGGAATCGCGATGTGCAGGAAAAACGACTTCCAAAAATTGCTTCAAGCTCAAGGCCCCTTCCAGCCCAAACCAGGCTGGGATTCTGTGATTCCAGTGTACTGGAAGGACTCAGAGGCTTGGTCTGATGGGAAGCAGTGAACTGCTGATCTATCCCTGCTTCTTCTCAGCATCCACAGAACAAGCAAACGCAGGGGCAGGGCAGGTGGGGATTAGCGGGGTGTTACTGACTGCTAATCACAAAAGCTGCCAGGGTAAAATTAGACAGGGAATGGTTTGCAGAGCCCCGACCCCTCTGGCTCAGTGCTCCCAGGCTTTGCTGTTGATTTCCTTGCTGGAACAAGCAGCAGTATTCCTGTTCTGGTTTTTCTGAGCAGAACCCCACTGCCCCCGCAGACAGGAGCACTGATGTGCCCCGGCTGCAGGCTATATCCCATTAGTGTGTCTGGAGCTCAGGAGAAGCCAATTACTGTCCATGGCGATTCCCTGCCATTGAAACTGGCTTGTGCTCGGGCTGTGACCCGGGAGGATTAGAGGGAAGGTGCTGCCTCAGGCCCTGCTCTGACCAAGGCTCCTGCAGCTCATGGGGCCTGGCTGCTGTGATGCGGGTTGGGATGGGGCAGCCTGGCCTCACCTGAACACCAAGGGGTTGTGTATTGAATGCATCTGCGTTGTCAAGATGGTCTTGTCTACCCTGGACCTGGGGCTGGAGTTTGGAGGTGGGAAGACCACTCCAAGCTTCACATGAAGTCATAGAATCATAGAATAGTTAGGGCTGGAAAGGACCTTAAGATTATCAAGTTCCAGCCCCCCTGCCATGGGCAGGAACACCTCCCACTAAACCACGTCACCCAAGGCTCTGTCCAACCTGGCCTTGAACACTGCCAGGGATGGAGCATTTGCAACATCCCTGGGCATCATAGAATCATAGAATGGTTTGGGTTGAAGGGACCTTAAGGATTATCCAGTCCCACCCCCTGCTTCTAGAGACCTTAGAGTAGCTCCAGTGCCTGAAGGGGCTGCAGGAAACCTGGAGAGGGGCTTTGGACAAAGGGCCTGTAGGGACAGGCCAAGGGGAATGGCTTTAACCTGCCAGAGGGGAGACTGAGATGAGCTCTTAGGCAGAAGCTCTTCCCTGTGAGGGTGCTGAGGCGCTGGCACAGGGTGCCCAGAGAAGCTGTGGCTGCCCCATCCCTGGCAGTGTTCAAGGCCAGGTTGGACACAGGGGCTTGGAGCAAGCTGCTCTAGTGGAAGGTGTCCCTGCCTGTGGCAGGGGTTGGAGCTGGAGGAGCTTTAAGGTCCCTTCCAACACAAACCAGTGTGTGGTTCTGTGATTATCAGCAACTTCTATGTAACAAGCAGAAACCTCTCTGGCTTCCCACTAATGCTTTGTCCCCTCACCCCCAGGCCATGTCCCAGCAGCATGTACCCAAGATGCTGATGTGATGCTTGTCACTGCTGGCCAGAACAGGAGCTGTGCTCATCAGCAGGGCTATGGGGAAACTGCAGAGCAAATTCAGCATCCACACCACCAAATACAGGTAAAGCAATGCCAGGTGATTGTGGCAGGGGTTGGAGCTGGATGAGCTTTAAGGCCCCTTCCAACACAAACCAGGCTGGGATTCTATGAAATAGAATGGCAGCAGGGTGTGCGATCTCTGCCTTGGCAGCAGCTGAGAGCCCAGGGTGGCAGCATGGGGGACTCCATGTGCTTGTCAAGGAGGGTGCTGGGTGTCAGAGCACAGCCGAGCTCTGAGCCAGGCTGGGGTCAGTGGAAGAGGAGGCTGGGGAGACAGGAATTCCTTCTTTGACCAGCACAGATAGAGCAAACACCTAAATATTTGGCAGCTCTGGAGGTGGAATAGGTCTGTTCCATCCCACCCAGTCCAGGAGATGCATTTGTCCATTCACAGCTTCGCTTTTGCTCTCTAAAGGCAGATGTCGTTCCTCTCCAGCCCAGCCACAGATGCCACCTCAGACTCACTGGGGCAGGGCACCTGAACCATGCCCAGAGAACCCTGCCTATGGCTGGAGCCCCCTGACCATGCCCGGAGCCCCCTGACCATGCCCAGAGCACCCTGACCGTGCCCAGAACACCCTGACCATGCCCAGAGCACCCTGACCGTGCCCAGAGCACCCTGACCATGCCCAGAGCACCCTGACCATGCCCAGAGCATCCTGACCGTGCCCAGAGCACCCTGACCGTGCCCAGAGCACCCTGACCATGCCCAGAGCACCCTGACCGTGCCCGGAGCACCCTGACTGTGCCCAGAGCACCCTGACCGTGCCCGGAGCACCCTGACTGTGCCCAGAGCACCCTGACTGTGCCCAGAGCATCCTGACCGTGCCCAGAGCACCCTGACCATGCCCAGAGCACCCTGACCGTGCCCGGAGCACCCTGACTGTGCCCAGAGCACCCTGACCGTGCCTGGAGCACCCTGACCGTGCCCGGAGCACCCTGACCGTGCCTGGAGCACCCTGACTGTGCCCAGAGCACCCTCACTGTAACTAGAGCATCCTGACTGTGCCCAGAGCATCCTCACTGTAACTAGAGCATCCTGACTGTGCCCAGAGCATCCTCACTGTAACTAGAGCATCCTGACTGTGCCCAGAGCACCCTGACCATGCCTGGAGCACCCTGACCGTGCCCGGAGCACCCTGACTGTGCCCAGAGCATCCTGACTGTGCCCAGAACACCCTGACCATGCCTGGAGCACCCTGACTGTGCCCAGAGCATCCTGACTGTGCCCAGAGCACCCTGACCATGCCTGGAGCACCCTGACCGTGCCCGGAGCACCCTGACCGTGCCCAGAGCACCCTGACCGTGCCCGGAGCACCCTGACTGTGCCCGGAGCACCCTGACTGTACTGAGAGCACCCTGACTGTGCCCAGAGCACCCTGACTGTACTGAGAGCACCCTCACTGTGCCCGGAGCATCCTGACTGTGCCCTGAGCACCATCAGCTTCCGTCGCTGTCTCTGCCTGTGCAGGGCCGATGGCTCCATGGGAGAGGTGGGACGTGCTCAAGCCGCTCCGCAGCGCAGCCCCGCACACAGCGATGCCGTCACCGCGGTGGCTGCTCTCAAACCAGACCTGTGCATGTCCGGAGCAAGGGACAAGGTGAGGCTCCCCCTGCCACAGCACAGCACGGTCACAGGTGGGAAGTGTATTGAGAGGCTGGGAAAATGGGGTTTGTGTGAGCTTTAGACATTCCCGTGAGTGGTTCCAACTTTGTCACTCCCTGAATTTAGGAACACGAGATGAGCTTAGAGCGAGGGCAGACACTGAACCGAGTTTTAGAAGCTCTGCAGAGCTCAAATCACATCAAATGCTCTCACCCAGGCTTGGAATCACTGTAGTGGCCCTTACAGTACCTGGCAGTGGATGGGCTCTACAGACAGCTCAAACCAGAAGAACCAGGGCTCACCGTAGCAGGACCAGGGAGGTGTGTGTCCGTGCTCACGGCCTGCTCTCCTGTCCTGCCCCGCAGAGCGTGGCTGTCTGCAGCTGGAGGTCCGGGGCTGTGCTGCAGCGGTTCACAGGCCACCAGCGGGAGATCACCAAGGTGAGTGACTGGCCTGAGCTGGGGGTCTCCTGTGCTCCTACCGGTCAGAAACCCGGAGCCGGGAGTGATGGAGCAGTGGTTTGTCACTGGCAGAGAGCTCGTGGTGCTCCCTCAGAGAGAGGGACTGGGGTAGCAGGGTGTGCTAGGTCTTTCCCAAGGTCCCAACTGATACTTTGCTGTCCAGGGAAATGGCATGGAGTGGTTGCATCTGGGCTAAACAGGGCTCCAGGAGGCTTGGACGTGCTCTCCCTGCCAAGAGACTACTTAGCAGCAGCTCAGGATGAATTCCTAGGTCAAGTTTTTGATCCAGAGATGCTGTTCACTTGTAGCAGGCCTCATTCCACGAGACTCATCATTATTCTTGGGTTTTATTCTTAATGGAGAGGGGCTTGGGACAAGGGCCTGTAGGGACAGGCCAAGGGGAATGGCTTTAACCTGCCCGAGGGGAGACTGAGATGAGCTCTTAGGCAGAAGCTCTTCCCTGTGAGGGTGCTGAGGCGCTGGCACAGGGTGCCCAGAGAAGCTGTGGCTGCCCCATCCCTGGCAGTGTTCAAGGCCAGGTTGGACACAGGGGCTTGGAGCAACTTGAGAGAATGGGGGTCCTGGGAGGCTGCTGCCCGATGCTCCCCATCATAACCTGCATGGTCACAGCAGGGGCTGCACTGGGGCTGAGCGGTTCCCCTGCTCCCACTGTGTCGGGGTTTGCCTGTGCCAGCATCCGGCAGAGCAGAAGGCAGCAGGAGGCTCAGCGTGAACAGTCGGGCACGTGCACATCAGCACGGGCAGAGCAGGGGCTGAAGGTCGGGCTCTCCCCAGTTGTGTCTCTGCACATCTCAGGCTCTGACGCGGCCGCAGCAGGGTGGTGCTGGCCCTGCTGGGCTGGCGGCCAGGCCACGCGGCTTCTCCCATCTTGTCCCTTCCAGGTCACCTCAGCCCCTGACTCCAGCAGAGTCTTCAGCGCATCCCGGGACAAGACAGCGATGATGTGGGAGCTCCAGGGGGCCCCGGGACCAAGCCAGCGCTTCGCAGCGCATGACCTGGTTGTGACGGGCCTGGCCGCGAGCCGGGGTGAGGGACACCGGGCTCCCGTTCCCCAGGGATTTCTTGGCAAGCTCTCCCGCTGTCGCTGTCGATGCGAACGAACGTGTGCTTGCAGATGCCTCCCAGCTGTGCACGGGCTCTCGGGACAACGCCGTGTGCACGTGGGACACGGAGACCGGGCGGTGTCTGCGCAGAGCCGTCACCCGCAGGAACCTGGTAGGAGCCGCTGGTTCCTTGCGCCCCGTCACAGCACCCGGGTGCCGGTTTCTCACGTGTGTGGTGCATTTGCTCTGAGCTTGGTGCTTCGGGACAGCCCTGAGGCACTGCTCAGGTGGCAGCTGGGGAGGGCAGGGCTGCAGGGGAGTTACTGCGTTCTCCAGGCAACAGCAAAGCACGGAGGTGCTGAGAGCCACACAGCAGCTGATGAATGCTGTAAGTGGGAGCCGTTTGGAGCACATCAGGGGAGGAGTTGGTGGGAAGCAAGAAGAAACTTCCCGTTTTCTGCTCAGAGCCCAGCACGAGGAGGAGAGGAGGTGGCCTTGGTGGCTCAGTGTCTGCAGGACAGCAGCCTGGGCTGCACAGGGCTGCTTTCTGCTCACCCTTTCCTTCCCGCAGGTCACACATCTGTGCTGGGTGCCTGGGGAGCCTTATGTCATCCAGACCTCAGAGGATAAAACAGTCAGGTAAATGAGAGTCCCCCAGTGCCGAAAGGGGGGACAAGAGACCTGGAAAGGGGCTTTGGACAAGGGCCTGCAGGGACAGGCCAAGGGGAATGGCTTTAACCTGCCAGAGGGGAGACTGAGATGAGCTCTTAGGCAGAAGCTCTTCCCTGGGAGGGTGCTGAGGCGCTGGCACAGGGTGCCCAGAGAAGCTGTGGCTGCCCCATCCCTGGCAGTGTTCAAGGCCAGGTTGGACACAGGGGCTTGGAGCAAGCTGCTCTAGTGGAAGGTGTCCCTGCCCGTGGCAGGGGTTGGAGCTGGAGGAGCCTTAAGGTCCCTTCCAACACAAACCAGGCTGGGGTTCTGTGACAATATGGAATTCTACCCGTGGCCACACAGCCTGGGGTGCACAGGGATTATGGAAAATCCCAGAGCACAAAGGGCTGTTTCTGTTGTGGTTTGTCCTGACCACCCGGCCTCCTGTGCTCTGCTGGGGTGGACAGAAGCTACCTCCCAGCTCACCTGGGTCTCGGAGCGAAGCCAGGACAGGAAGCCTGGTGGCTGTAAGCAGCACTGGTGGTGACTGGGTAAAAAGGAGAATTCATAAAGAAGAAATCTCAGCACAGCTCCAGTGGCTGGAGCTGGAGCCTGAACGGGTGCAGGGAGAGCTTTGGGGGTTTGGCTTGCTGGGGGAAGGAGAGGGACAGCGGCGAGGGTAGCGCAGGGGGGATGGAGGGACACCCATCGTGGCAATGATGCATCAGAGTCCCCCTTCCTCTCCCTGTTCCTCCGAGGCTGTGGGACCTGCGGCAGCTGGAGGTGGCTCACAGCTTCCCCGCCAAGCAGCACATCCAGACCTGCTGCGACGTGAGCCCCGACGGGCGGCTCTGCCTGAGCACCAGCAGCGGCACCGCGGGCGAGGGCTGCGAGGCCACGGTGAGTGAGAGCCAGCCCCGCAGTGCGAGCGGGGCAGCACGGCAGGCACCTGCCTGCCCGGGGGCTCGCGTTCCCGTGCCCATGGCACGCAGCAGAGGGCAGCAGGCTGCCGCTCCAAGCACCTGCTTGCTCCGCTGCTTAGGATCTTCCTGCGTGTCCCTTTGGCAAGCCTGGTGCTCGGGGGGTACCTGAGCAGCTGCTCTTGGTTAAAGCCCTGGATTTTGCTCCATGGCGTTGAGGAGCACGAGGCTCGCACAGGAAGCCCGTCAGGAACCCCCCTGCTGGAGGCATTTCCAAACCGTGCAGGGTCCCAGCCCTGTGTGTGAGCATCGGGAGGGCGAGACCTGTGGGTGTGATTCTCACTATTACAATGAAGACAGCTCAGGACCTTCTTGGCAAAGTATCTGAAACATCGTGACTGTGCGTGCTTGAGTTCAGCCCTTCCAGGGTATCCTTCAGTAATGAATGTCGAATGTTCCTTCCCCATTATCCGCCCCAATTACAGTCCAAAGTCTGCCATAGTGGTGCCATGTCCTTGAAACGATGCTTGTGGGCATCCAGCTCTGACCTCTGCCTGTGCCCTGCAGCTGTGGGACCTGCGGCAGACGAGGAGCCACCTGTGTGAGTACAAAGGGCACTTCCAGACCACGACCTCGGGCGTTTTCCTGCCGTGGGGCCCCACGCTCGCCCCCAGCATCGCCACGGCCTCGCTTGACAGCACCGTGAAGGTCTGGGACCGAGACACTGCAGGTAGGGCAGGGCGCTGCCCGCCCCGTGCCCCACTCTGGGTAACAGAGCTCCTGCTTGGTTTCTGTCTCCCAGTGCTGATGGGCACGGTGAAGCCTCAGATCTCTGGGTTTTCCTCTAATCCAGCTGCAGGGCAGGGTGGAGCTGCCCCAGAGGCTTCTGCTTGTCCCCCAGCCAAGGAAATGGGAAATGACTTCTCTTTCCCGTTTGGGGCTTATCGAAACCACACGCTGCGTTGCACAGCACGTAGGAAAGGTTCTTCTGGAGTATAAGCAATGTGGGAGAAAAAGGGGTGTTGGGAACGCGTCCACAGAGCCCTGCAGCTCTGCCCAGTGGGGCCGTCCGTCCAATCCATCCCTGCCTCCTCTCCAGGGAAGGGGCAGAGCCTGACCTCAGCCTGGATTCCTGTTTGCTGGCCACTGCCCGACTGGGCAACACAGACCCACCGTGGGGCTTAGACATGGAGAGTCCCTCGTTCAAAGGGCACATCCCAATGTGGGGATGCAGGAGAGGGACAGAGACAGAGCAGACGAGGTGGGAGGTTGGTGTGGTTGTGTCTCACCTCCGTGATGTCTCTGTTCCCTCCTCAGCCTGCCTGGCCACGCTGTATCTGGATGGAGCAGGACCGTTGTCCTCGCTGGCTGCCTGTGACAGCTCCACGCTGCTCTGTGCCACTTCCAGCTCGGGGATCCACGTCCTGCAGCTGCGTGAGGGTGCGGAGCCGGTGCTGGAGGAGGTGGGGGTGTTCTGACCGCAGCCTTTCCAGCAGAGAGCAGGTGGCTCCCCAAGCACCACTCTGCGCCTGCAGAGCTGCCACGTGTGATCAGCGGGGATAGGACCCAAGGGTTTCAGCTTGTGGGTGGGGAAGGCACTGGAGCTGCCTGGAACAGCCACGCCATGGATGCGACCAGGCCAAGGTCCTGTTCCTGAGGGAGCCTCGTGTGTTACTGACAAACCTCCCGCCAGGCAGCTCCCCAAGGAGCCAGGGGCAGCATCAGGGGTGCCAGGTCAGCCTGAGCTCAGCTGCTCTTGGAAGGGGGTAAGTCACCATGAGAGGTGGTCATCTACAACCTGTATGACTGTGCCCAGTGCCGCTCCGTGAGCAGCTCAGCTCCATTGACCTGCTGGCTATGGTCCCGTTGATGCGGGACAAGGTTGGTGTTCTGACCTCTTATCCCACAGCATTTTCCCTGGGAGCAAATAAGAGCTGGCACAGAGCACATGGAGCTGGCACCCCACTGCTCAGAAGGGAGGAGAAAGCCCACAAGGTGCTTTACAGAAGAACAGTAACTTGTGGGTGGGTTTTTTTCTTAGAACATCTCCACTGCAGGTGCTGAGAGCAGAACCATGTTCATGCTGCCAAGGAACACGGAGCTGCTCCAGCTGACAGTGAGGACATGAACCAGTCTCCTCGTTCCTCCTGAGGGGTTTTTATGGTGGCAGACAGAAAGCAAACTGCGCTGTGAAGTTCCTGTAATTTCTCCATTCCTGACTCGGGCCCAGAGGCACATTCAAAACATGCTTTGATTTTCCAGAACACAACATCTGCAAAGCCTCAATGTGAAGAATAAACATCAAGGAAGAATGCTCCCTGCAGTGTGTATGTTAGAACAAGACAGTCCTACACTGAAACACCCTTTCTCACATCACCTCAGGTGAGACACAGCAAAAACTTACACAGGAGATGCCTACGTGCATTTGAAGCACCCAGCTCATCAAGGACATGAGCTGGTACATACAAAGAAACTTCCCTGGCCTTTAACACCTCCTGTGGGTGAACACAAAGGGCAAACAGACCTCCACACTTGGGGTACCATGTTCCTCTAACACTCACACCAAGTTTTCCCTTCTTTAAATGCAAATCAAGTTTGAAGCCACAGACTCCTTCCAAAGGCTCCTGGAAATAGAAGGTAAGAAGGGAATGAGCAGAGGCTGACCACCACAGCACATCTGAGGGGTGTGTGGGGAGCCACAGATGTGTAAAATGGACTGGAGGAAACCTCTGAGGCTGACAGGGAAGGGAGGGTGGAAGCAGATGGATCATCTCCAAACGGCAGCAGAAAGTATCTGCAGTATGAAACCAGCATCCTAAAGGGTACAAAAACATGACCCAAGATTTGCCTCCAGCAAACACAGGTACTTCACAACCACCTCAACCCAAGCCCAGCCAGTGCCCAGCTGCCCCACCACATGCTGCAATAGCCCATTCCTTTCTTTAATATAAAAAAGGTTGTCCTAGCTGACGGCCACGAACGTCTCCTTCAGTTCATGAGCAACAGCTCTGAGCTACTCCGCTGTCCACAGCTTGAAGGTTCTGTCATAGGAGCAGGTTGCTATCAGCTGGCCATCGAGGGAGATGTCCAGTCCCATCACCTTTCCCTCATGACCAGCCAGTGTCTTCAGTGGGGACCAGCCAGGGTGAGTCCAGATCTTGGCTGTGTTGTCATAGGCGCCCGTAAGCAGGAAGTTTCCATGGTTGGCTGCAGCAGAAGATGAGAACAAGGGAGAGGTGAGATTTGCAGATAAAACCATCCCAAACCCTGACCTTCTCGACCTGAAGGTGTTTCATCCCCTGCCACCTCAGCTCAGGAGGTACTTACGTTCAAACTTCACCCCGGTCACCAGGTTCTGGTGGGCAGGAATGGTGTAGATGCACTTCCTCTGGCGCAGGTCCCACACCTTGCATGTGTTGTCACCACTGCCAGTCGCAACGTGGTATCTGCCAAAGGGTGGGGGAAGGCCTTGCTGGGAGCTTTGTACTCAAGAGCTCCCAATCCCACCACCCAAACTCTCTTCTTACCCATTAGGGGAGAAGTTAATCCCATAGATCTCCTTCAGGTGGCCTTCCAGGAACATGATGCAGCGTCCCGTGCGCAGGTCCCACACCCGGCCAAAAGCATCCAGTCCTCTAGGAAGGGAGACCACGAGTGTTACCCATCAGAGCCTTCCACAAGTGCCAGAGCTCAGCCTCACCAGCAGCATCACTGGGGCACCTGGCATCAGTCAGCAACCAAACCTTGATACCATTTCTTGTCTGGTCCCAATGCAAAGCACACTCACCCAGTGCCTGCGAGGGACCCGTCTGTGTGAAAGGCAATGTCATAGACCCCTTTGCTGTGCCCCTCCTGATGGAGAATCTCCTCCTGAGCTTCCAGGTCCCACAGGCGCCACGAGTGATCGTAGCTGTGAAAACAAAGCATGTGTCCAACCCAATGGATCTCCAAGGAGAACGAGAGGATACTGCACTAAATGGGGGGGGCGGGTATTTCCAGCTGGAGACCAACAGGTTTCCCATGAGGGGCTGAGAAAGGAATCCCAATGCCTTGATATTCCTTACACTGCAGCAGCCCAGCTGCTGTCAATGGCCAACCCTTGCCCACACTCAGCTCCTCTGGACAAGCAACAGCACCCACTGGACTACCAGATAGAGAGCGAATGGTAATGTCTGAACGAAATAAGCAAACCTCCCTACCAGGTGGTACCCAGGAACCGGCCTGACGGGTGCCACATCACACGTGCCACTCTCATGCTGTGTCCTTCAATATCTGCCACCGGTTCATCACTGAAAGACAAACAAAAATCAGGCACTGGTCAGAGGAGGGGGCTCCTGGAGGCCTTTGCAAACGTTCTGCTCACAGCACAGGATCTGCTCATTAAATGCCACCCAGCCAGAACATCAGAGCTTTAACTAATGGCTCTGAATTCTGGCTTTGCTCACCCAGGTGCCCCTTGATCCACACTCATGCTGGTTACAAAGTTCTCCTAGGATAATTATTATCATTATTCCTGAATAGGCCCTTGTCATTAGCACTTTAAAGTGCAGAACCAAAACACAGACTACTGCAACAGCAGATTTCCTGTGGCTTCACAGAACTAGAGCAAATCCTGCTCTTGTGCAGAGCTGCAGGGAGGCAGGATAGGGGGAATATTCTCCCATAATTACAAGCAGCAGGTTAGCAACCTTCAGCAGGAGACCTGAGCAGCATTTAGTTTCTTTCCAACAGGGTAACTAAAGAGATGTGGTCATCTGAGACTAATAAGCAGCCTGTGCCTGTGCAGAGCTGTGCTTCTATGACTGGAAACACTGACTTCTAGCTAAGGATAAGCACCTGAGCACTTCCACTGCATGAGGTGCACTGAAGGGCTCCTCAAACACAGCCAGTGCCAGGGCTCAGTGTCTACACCTTCTCTTCTTCACAGCCTTGAGACAGATGCTGCACATCTTCTTCCAAAACTACACTGCAATGACAGAGCCACTGAGAGGCTGAAGCTTTTGTGCATCCTCCTGTATTTGGTTACTCCCTCTCCAGATACTGGTGCTTTCTAATAACTCAAGTTCATTTTTTAATATCCATAGAATCAGCTTGGTTGGAAAGACCTTTAAGACCATCAAGTCCAGTCTAAGAGGGGATATTTTCTCCTAAATCAAAGGTTAGAATGAAACAATCTCCAAATCTTCCATCCATCACCCAAAGCATTCACCAGAGCCCAGCAGCAACCCGGACTTGATTCTCTTCAGATGACTTCCCCTCACCTGGATGTCCCTACTCAGGGTGATCTTTTTTCCTGCTGAAGAAGGTGGCACAAACTGAGGCCAGGAACTGCACTGGTATAACTACAAGAAAAGGTTGCATTTGCAGGAGGATGGTAAATGTCCAATGTTTAGCAGCATGAAATAAACCCCAAACCAACCATGCTGCAGTGTGCTTGTCTGGTATCATTCTGACCTTTCAAGGCTCCAGAGTTTGACAGAACCATCAGCTGCACAGGAGGCCAGGTTAACATCCTTCTTGTCCAGGGAGACAGTGGCTTTGGGATGGAAAACTATTGCTCCTACATTGGTGCTGTGTCCTTAAGAGAAAGGAAGATCAAAAATCACCGTCTGCCACATGATCTTGGCCAGTTCTTCAGAGAAGCAGCATTTTTTTGTTGCTCAGCTGGCTACCAGTGAACGCTGTCGCTGTGTCCTCCCACGTTGGGTGAAGGTGCACTGTAACCACCAGCCACAGCTGCCAACAGCTACACTGCACTTCCAGCAGCACCCACTTCAGGGTGTCCAACACAAAGGTTTGTGACACGCAAAATGTAGTGAAAATCCAACATATGAATCCAGAGATCTGTCCTCACCTTTGTACCCAGTCAGAGTTGTGACCACTGTTCAAAGAACCTCACTGCTGGTAAGTGACTGGCCAAAAATGCTGCTATTTGCCTCTAAATAATTCAAACCAGGTTTTGAAACAAAACCCCATTTAGAATCAGGAACAGCAAACTCTGGTCTCAGCTCTAAGAGAAGGGCCAGGACTTCCTCGTCATTACCTGACAGTGCCCCAGCTCCCCAGTGCTCTCATGAGAACAAAACCGGCCCAAAGATCACTACATTTGGAGCCACAGAGTAATTGAGAAAGGGGAACTCAGTCCACAGAGGAATAAAAGAACTCAGCAAAGTCGCTCTCACCTCGTAAGGTGTGGACAAGGTTGCAGTCGGGCACGGACCAGAGCTTGCACAACCCACTCCTGTTGATGACAAGAAATAGGTGTCAGTGTAGGCAGGAATGTCAAAGAGCAGATCAAACCCAGAGCTGCAAAACCACCTGGGTATGGGCAGCTGCAATGGCTGAAATACCAATGCACGTGGGGCAACCAGCCACGGCAACTAATGGACTTGGACTGAAATATCTCCTAAGCTCTAAAATGAAGGGAAGAGAGTTCAGAGTAGAAAGAAAAAGCATTTCTGAACTCTCCTGATTCACCGGCCTGCAGTAGCACCCCTCTCCTTCACTCCTGCTGTGCTCTCCAGCCCCTAAAGCAAGTGCTGTGGAAGGAAACTCACCAGCAGGCAGTCGCGAGCAGTTTGGAATTGGGGCTGAAGTGGCAGTAGGACAGCGGGCGATCATCTCCAATCTGGCTGCAGAAGTTATTCAAGGACTGAAACCAAAGACAAAGAAAATGATAACTGAGCAAAGTACAACCTAGAGAAAGCCCCAGGCAAAGAGTGGGGTGAAGGAGAAGGCAGAGGCCTTTGGAAAGTCACTTTCAAAGGCAGGAGCTGCCCACAGCCACTCCAGCTCCAAGCAAGCCACTGAGCTGGACTGATGTAGGCCTGGGGCACAGTGAAGCTCCCCAGTGCCACCCATGGTACTGGCCACCAGGAAGCCCTCAGGCCTGCTTTGCAACTGTAGCTTTCATAAAGAACATCCTGCAGCTTTGGTTTCTTTCTACACCTCATCCAATGAATGCATCCAGACAGAGGAGGGCAGGCACTGTGGTGTGCTGAGGGGAGAAGCAAACCCTCTGGCAGTTAATGCCTCTGGGTGTAAACTGGATTTGAGCAGCTCAAGCCTCCCTGTTGGGTTAAGCTGGGAATCTAACTTAACACACAAGGCTGTCTCAGAGTCATCTAAAAGATGGTTATTATGGTGTTGCTTGTATTTTCCCTTGGGTTTATGGACTGGTGACTGCTGTACAGGAAAGGAAAGTGAGCAGTCCATTCCTCACCAGCTAAACCTGTGACAGAGCCAGGAACAAATGCCTTTAGCTTCCCAGGCAAGTGGCAAGGCAGTGCAGGGATGTCTGCTCACCCCTCTGCCACGCAAAGGGACAACTAGAGTACATCTCTCTGAATCCCTGAAGGAATTAGTACATGCTCTTTGCACACCACAGGGGAAGGGAGAATAAGCAAAGCTTCCCAACAGGTGACAGTGCAGAAAACTGCACACACCTGCATAGCATGTCGGGGCACTGACCCATTCCTGCAGTCTTTGGAGGAGCAGCAAGAAGCTGTAAAAGCAGCAGCCAAACCTACCCGCAGGGATTTGTGTAGCTCCTGTCTCTGCGATGTCCTGGTTGCCTCTGGGATCTCTTTGAGCAGGCGGGCTTCTTCCAACCGCTTCGCTGCCCTGCAGAGCACAACAGTGGAGTAACAAACCCCTACACTGCCCTACCCTGCTGCTGGAAACTGGCCGTGCCCTCATCCTCCCCTGAGCTGGGCTGATGTTAGAGTCGGTACTGCACGGAGCACTCGAGTCCTGCACTCACTGGACTTGTCTACCTGTGTATGTTCCCCATTCCTTTGGCCTGATTGCCTGCACTACCTGCAGTGGGATGAGCAGCCAAACTTTACACCAAGTTGTGCCTCCTCCTTCCTTTGAGCTGCTGGGTCTCACCTGGGGAGTGAGTAGTTTGCAAGCCAGAGCCGCGCTGTTTTCAGGCTGCGTGGTCCTTCGTGGTACCAGGTTTGCTGATACTGCAAGGGAAAGAACGCAGCTGATGTGATGCTGCTCTTCCACCCAGTGACCTCCTCTTAGCAGATAAGTGCCACCACTGTCTGCTCTTAAATCTCACTGTGTTAAGGCCTCTTTTTAAAGATATTTTGTGTAACTATCAGCCCTAGAAAAAGTGATTAAAGAGACAAGGCAAACTCTGCCCTGCAGATAAAATCCTGATGTGCAGCCATTTCACTCGAGAATATTCCAGTTATGACTTGCTTTTACTTGATGAATTACAGCTCCTTCCTTCTCTACACATTGCCCTGGAAAATGAAAGCCCAGAGCTGCAGAAATTGTCCTTGTTTCTTACACCAACCCCCCAGAATAAGAAGGGAAAAATGGACTTAGAAAAGAGACAGGAGAAGCAGAAAGAAGAATAACAGGCAGAAACAGATGCAGCAGCAGGAACATATTTTCTTTTCTTCCCAAGTACAAAGACAGCAATAAAGGCCCTGCCAGACTAAGGAACAGTTCAAACACCTGCTCTCCTCTTCTACATGCAGCATGGGATTTGTCCTGCAAGCACAGGCTAACTTAGTGTTGCAGATTTAGAACTGCTAAGACAGGCAACACAAAATAAGCACGAAGGGACGAAAACCCACAGAGTGACCCAAACCAAGAGTCCTGGGCAGAGCAGAGCCCATCAAAGCCAGGTATCACACAAGCTTCCCTCAGCACTGAGGGAACAGGGAGATCATTACCTCTTCTCTGGACTTTTTAGACCTGTCGTCATCTTTCCTGGTCTTTTTTAACGCGTCTGTGCCAACCACTGAAAGGATATTTCTTAACCTGGAAAGAAAAACAGCAAGTTGTATTCAGGCTGTGAATTCTCAGCTGACAATGAGCTCCTGCCAGCTGCTCCTTCTTCCTCAGTGCTCTTGCAGCACTGTAAGGAAGTGTTACAGAGCAGTGGCACTCGCTGCACCCCAACCACATGGAAAACATCCAACAAGAGTTGGATAAACTCCAAGTTCTCCCTATGCAGAACTCGGGCAGCCTGACACAGCACCTCTCCCTCCTTTCTGCAGGACCTTCTCCAAAGAGGGTGATGGGCTCCCCAAGCGCCCGCAAACAGGCTTTGACTTCAGAGTCATCAGTGGACACGTTGATCTGCCGGGCTCGCTTCCTGCGCTCGAACTCCGCCAGCACCTCAGCCTGACGCTCACTCATGTGGTCTTCGAGGTCAAAGACCTCACCTGAGAAACAAACAGAACTGTCAGCTCACAGCAGTGCTGGATGAGAGACCATCCCAGAATGCCAGCCTGGTTTGGGCTGAAGGGACCTTAAAGCTCATCCAGCTCCAACCCCTGCCATGGGCAGGGACACCTTCCACTAGAGCAGCTTGCTCCAAGCCCCTGTGTCCAACCTGCCCTTGAACACTGCCAGGGATGGGGCAGCCACAGCTTCTCTGGGCACCCTGTGCCAGCGCCTCAGCACCCTCACAGGGAAGAGCTTCTGCCTAAGAGCTCATCTCAGTCTCCCCTCGGGCAGGTTAAAGCCATTCCCCCTTGGCCTGTCCCTACAGGCCCTTGGCCAAAGCCCCTCTCCAGCTTTCCTGCAGCCCCTTTAGGCACTGGAGCTGCTCTAAGGTCTCCCCTTCAGGAGCCTTCTCTTCTCCAGGCTGACCCAGCCCAGCTCTCTCAGCCTGGCTCCAGAGCAGAGCTGCTCCAGCCCTGTGTTTGTGCTGGGGTTGCCCTGACCCAGAGGCAGGACCAGATCCCTCTCAAACAGGAAAAGCCAAACAAAGAGCCATTTGTCCAGGCAAAAGCCTCATGGGTTTGACTTTAAATTATCCTAAAAGTTGATCACAGCCTTTTGAAAGTGTCATGCTGCAGAACATGGGTCAATATTCTCACCACTGCTAATGTTGATGTTGCCAGCTTCGATCGCCGCTTTCATCCCCTCCTTCCCCAGCAGCCCCGACTCTCCCTTTGCCAGACGCTCCTTCTCCTTCTCTTCAAGGCTGCCATAGAAGATGGGGGCTCTCTTGGCCGGGGGAGCATCGCTCTCTTCTGCAGCCTTGGTCTTGGTGGCCTGGAAGGTAAAGGCAGACCTTTAAGTGTGTTTTGGTTGACAAGGAGCCAGCAAACAGCTCCAGTTGCAGGGGAGGACACTGGGGACGTTCTGATGAGACCCGGACACTCTGTTTGAGGCAGCAGCTTTGGCCCAAGTGCAAAGGGCAGAAGTAAAATGCCCCATTAAATACTTCGCTGCAAGTGGGCTCTGTTGTGTTCTGGCTCACTGTGAGCTGCTCAGACCTCACTTTTAAGGCTGCTTTCTGGACTACAATGAAAAACAACAACGTTCCAGCTCAGGAAGGAGGCGATGCCGCCGCCCGCGCTCGGGGGCGCTCCGCACGTGGAGGGAGGCGGCGGGTGACCGGTTCCGGCTCCCGGGAGAGGGGCCTCAAACAAACATCCCGGGAAGAATCCGAGGACCCCGTCAGGCCGCCCACAAACGCGGCTGGGGGAGCTCCGGGGGGAGCTCCGGCCGCCGCGAACCCCGCAGGCCGCAACAGCACACACCGGGGCGGCCCCGCTGCCGTGCGGGTAACGGGCGTGGTGCCGCCGCCCTCCCCGCCTGAAGCAGGCACCCACCTCTGCAGGCGCGGGGGCCCGCACGAGCGGGCGGGCGCCACCTCGCGCTGCCGGGGCCCGAGCGGAGGCCATGGCGGCGGCAACGGGAACCGAGAACGGCAGCAGCACGGGGTTCGGGCTCCGGCGCCTCACGATCACTTCCGGGGCACGCGGGGCACGCCGGGAAGCGCAGTAGCCGTTAGCGGCGGGGCTCGCAGGGCACGTCGGGAGCAACGACCCGGGGCCACGCAAGGTACGCTGGGAGGTGTAGTCCGGGGGGGGCAACGCACACCGGGAGGTGTGGCCGGGGGCGCGCAGAGCACGCCGGGAGGTGTGGCCTTGGCGGGCTCGGCCCGCGGCGGCGGGCTCGGGTACCGGTGTGGGTGGGGATGCTGCGGCGGAAGCCGACGCGGCTGGAGCTGAAGCTGGACGACATCGAGGAGTTCGAGAGCATCCGGAAGGACCTGGAGGTGCGAGCGGGGCCTCCCGCGGCGGGACACGGCCCCCCCCCCGCCCGCTCGGGATCGCCCTGACGCGGCCCCTCTGCCCCGCAGGGCCGCAGGAAGCAGCGGGAGGACGCGGACGCGGCGGCGGCCGGTGAGGAGGCGGCGGCGGCGGCGGCGGCGCTGGGCAGCGACCACAAGAGCCGGGAGCAGATGATCAATGACCGCATCGGGTACAAGCCGCAGCCCAAGGCCGGCGGCCGCGCCGCGCACTTCGGCACCTTCGAGTTCTAAGGGCGGGGCCGGGCCCGCTGCACCCGCGCTCCCGGCTCTGCGGTGAAGGGGGCCGTGAGCGCCCCTTGGCAAGGGCCGTGTTCAAATAAATATGGCCTTTTTTATTATTGCCGTTCAGTAATAACCACACGAGCTGCTGTGAATGGCCGAGGGGGAAACACCCGTGTGTCCTGCACTGCGCGTGCCCGTGTGGGATGCAGTCCGGAGGTGAAACACAACCGCTGGAGAGGGGACTGCTGGGGACTTTTTGGTGTAGTTGCCCTAAAAATGGAGGCAGTGAAGGGATTTTGTTTAAACCTTCACCCTGTGAGCTGGTGACACCGCTAAGGAGAAGGTACCAGAGTGCTACAAACCTTCACATGAGTCAGGGCAATCCAAGCACAAGCACAGGCTGGGAGATGAAGGGATGGAGCAGCCCTGAGGAGAAGGACTTGGGGGTGTTGGGTGATGAGAAGCTCCCCATGATCCAGTTTCAGTAAGCGCTTGAGCCCAGAATGCCCCTTGTGTGCTGGCCTGCACCCCCAGAGCGTGAGCAACAGCACAGGGAGGGGATCCTGCCCCTCTGCTGTGCTCTGGGGAGACCCCCCTGCAGTCCTGATCCAGCTCTGGGGCAGCAGCACAAGAGGGACGTGGAGCTGTTGGAGAGAGTGCAGAGGAGGCCATGGAGATGCTGCGAGGGCTGGAGCAGCTCTGCTCTGGAGCCAGGCTGAGAGAGCTGGGCTGGGGCAGCCTGGAGAAGAGAAGGCTCCTGAAGGGGAGACCTGAGAGCAGCTCCAGTGCCTGAAGGGGCTGCAGGAAAGCTGGAGAGGGGCTTGGGACAAGGGATGTAGGGACAGGCCAAGGGGAATGGCTTTAACCTGCCAGAGGGGAGACTGAGATGAGCTCTTAGGCAGAAGCTCTTCCCTGTGAGGGTGCTGAGGCGCTGGCACAGGGTGCCCAGAGAAGCTGTGGCTGCCCCATCCCTGGCAGTGTTCAAAGCCAGGTTGGACACAGGGGCTTGGAGCAAGCTGCTCTAGTGGCAGGGGTTGGATGGAACTGGAGGAGCTTTAAGGTCCCTTCCAACACAAACCAGGCTGGGATTCTGTGACTCCCAATCACTCTCTGATTGCTGTGGTGGGAGCTGCCAGCCCCCACTTCAGCTGCAGTCTGCATTGAGGAGTGTTTCCAAAGCACATATCCACCACAGTAAAATGCAGTCTAGTTTATTGGTTAATTATATACAGGAGACTCTTGATATTCACAGTAATATCAGACACATTACCTCCACATAGAGCAAGATAAAAACAAAAGTGACAGTCCACTGTAAACAGAACTCAAACCCTGCTGGATGTGGGGCTGCTCCAGGCAAACTGAACAGGCACTGAAGGAACGAGAACAACGGCGGGTGACAGCCTCGTGCTTGGGCACTTAGGAGATGATGGATCCAGACGCACCACGTGTGGAGACCAAACATGGGGCACAAACAGACACAGGACATCGCATTCCAGGCGTGCTACACTGTGGTGACGTGAATTAAGTTTACTTGAGCCTTGCAGAGCCCTCACCTCCCTCCAAGCACCACCTCATGTGGGTTTAGTGTCATCAGCACAACTGTCAATGGGCACACCCTGGACACGGTGGGTGAAGCCATCAGGAGGCAGCAGGTTCTGCTCAGCAGCCTGGCCCAGGGACACACAGTCGGTGGCACTGGAGGCACGGGGCAGGCTGCTCCAGATTGTCTGAAGCTAAAGGAAGCACATCCAGAGCTGAAGGGGAGGTGCTCATGGGGAGGTGGAGGCTGTCCTGTCCTCAGCAGCAGAGAGGATGCAGCCTCCATCCCTCCATGATCACCCTCCCCTTCAGACCATCCTTCCCTGGCTCAGCTCTCCCCTGTCTAAGAGGCGCTGCCCCTGCTCCAACCATCACTGCCAGGGTACCAGGGACTGTTGCGGGGGCTCTTACCATGCAGGTGACCACTGCTGCGGCAGCATCAGCACCCAACTGCACACTGAACACAGGGGGATCACCTCTGGGAGGAAACAGTTTCCATGCTACAGGTAAAATGAGGCGGAAAAGCTAAGGAGAACCTGGCTTAGATTGTGAAAGCCACAGCTACTGCCTGATCTCTGACTCATCCATCTCTCGTCACTTGAACCAGAGAATTGGGTGCCCAAAAGGAGACAGCAGGATCAGGCAAAGGGAAGGTTCTATTTTAGAGAAAGACACAGCAAGAGGTACATGGAGTAACTGGTGTCACACAGAGCCCCTTGGGACTCTAATCCCTGGTGCAGCAGCTCCAGCTCACTGCAGAGAAATGACCAGAGCAGCGCTGCCACTATCGGTTCTGATCAACCCCAGGGATCAAGCCCTGCAGGTTAAAGCTTCCAAACCAGAGCCCACCATCTCCAGCACTCAACTGCTTCACTCTTCCCTGACAAGCACTCAGATTCCCTCACAGCTCTCAGGGTGGCAGGGTCTGGTTTCTGCTCCTGAAGACAGGCAGGATTGCTTACAGAGATTTTTACCTTTGGGGCAGGTGCAGAGAGCAGCATCTGTCCTTCTGCAGCCTGGTGGGTTAACTCCCTTCAAAGGTCACACTGGGGAAGAGCTTTTCCTCTCTCTCTTGAGGAGGGGGCTCGGATTCTTTGCCTTTTTCACCTAGATGCAAAGTCACTACAGAAAGCAGCTCTTTAGGAACTGACCCCTGCCTTTACCTCATCAAATTGCATGCTGTGCTTGGGCTGCCCTAAGAAAACAAGATGTCCAAACAAACAGATGGCATCAACCTGGGACAGTCAACTTCACGTGGAGCAATTCAGGATCCTGGCAGCAGCAGTAATGGACTTCCTGCTGCCCTTCACAGAGAGTGGTAGGGTGAGGGTGTGCTCTGGGCTGCTGATGGACCATCAACGCAGAAGAACCCACCGCCACAGGGATGGGCCTCCCTTATGGGCTAAAACGTAATTCCCAGCTTTCCTTACGCAGCTACTGTGGGACTAGTTACATCTCTGGAGAGAAAAGTGCTGATGCACGTGCCCAGACACTTTTACCTCAGGAGGATTCCCTGTTCTCAGGGCAGATCTCAGGCACCAGTCCCTGTCTGCAGGTATTGCCTGTTTTCCAGTGAAAATCCCACCTTCATCCCTTCCAGCCTGTTACAAGCACAAACTGGGCATCCCGAGTGCGATGGAGACTCCAGCTTTGCACCACGCTCTGCACACCACTCCCTTCCATAACAAAGTGCTAAACCAAAACTGCTCCCTAGAAAACGCAGGGTGAGAGGTGGACAACTCACGCAGGAGGCTGCCTCTGCCCGTGTCACAGCCTGTCCTGCCCACGACAAGTGGGAGCTCTTCACTGCACGGCCAGCACAGGTAACTCCTGCACCTCCAAGCTAAGGTCACAGCACAATTATCAAGACAAAGAGGAGTCATCTGGGTCAGGAACACTTTTTAATCAGCCCAAATTGCTCCAAGTTTCACCTGAGAAGAGACCAAAGCCTGCTCAGTTCTATCTTTTCTTTCTTCTCTTCCCCAGATCTCTCCTTTACAGGAACACGACTGTTTTACCTCCTTCATTTCCACCAGGGAATGCCCGCTTCAGACATCTTAACCTTTAGTGTCATGAAATCATTATTTAGCTCTTGCCTCATTTACAGAACTAGTTCAACCAGAGCCCACCTCTAGCTCCACCCAGGTGCAATCCAACATGAAGTAAATGCAGGTTCAATGGGTTATTTATAGTCTTTTTGCCCTGTAAATACACAATTGTCCTGCATCTACTCCATGTATTTCCATGACTGGGAATTGAAAGCAGCCAAACTTAAATGTTACCACCTGAAGCTGAGTAATGCTGCTGGACACATCCAGTTATCAACACTCATCATACACGGATGGACTTGGGGACAGGCCATTGAGACCCCAGGTCACACACTTATGTAAAGTACTCCCTTGCAGCACGCACCTGAGCGTGTCTGAGGTGCAGCACCAAAATCTCCTTCTGCATCAGAAGGTGTCACTGGCCCCAAAAGCCACAGTGCCAGGGAGATGTCCCCTGGCATCCTGTACAGCTTGAAACAAGCAGAATTAAAACAGCCATTCACACATGTAGCTCCATGGGTGACTCTGGTCTTTCCCTGCTGTTCATGAAACCCTCCCAGATGAGCTTTTAAAAATAAAATGCTTTTTGTTTTCTTTTTTTTGTTTTCTTAAAGAATAACTTCTACATTTCTGTCAGCCAACTAATTTCAATCACGGCATAATCTAAGACTAAAGCAAATCCTGGCCCAGAGTGGCAACCATAGGACCCTCGAGTCAACACTGCTGCCCTGCAGCAAGCAAGCAGCACACCCCAGCTCCTCACATCCCTGCACTCCGGCCAGGAACCTGTGGTGAACTCCAGTTCATTTTCTGTACATTGATTCTCTGTCAGCTTAGGAAGGATCCCTCCCTTCAAGAGATCCCTTTTGTTCAAGAGAGCAGTGGGGTGGAGAGGCTTTTGGGCAGTGTCCGCTGTTAATGGCAGTGCTCTGTGATATCCACAACAACCGCCTTTTTCCAGCTGAAGAAGAAATAGCCCATCCCTGCCCCGGCTGCCACGGCTATGCAGAGGTATCCGTTGTATGTCATGAAGATCAGCATGAGGAAGTAACTGACCACGACCTGGATGATGTGCAGCACGGTCTGCAGGAGGTGAGGGAAGCTCAGCATCTGCTGTCTGGGAACACAAAACCCAAAGAGCAGTCAGCATCCGTGAGACACAGGCAGGAAAACACACATCCCCCAAAGAGAAAATGCAGCTCAGCTTAGGCTGACAGGATGCCAGGGGGGTGTGAGGTGGCACACAAGGTAACAGAGCAGCCTGGACACACACTTCTGCATCCATCTGCCCCATGTAACTGTGGCTTTCCCCCTAGAGCTGACCGATGACAATGCCAGCATGGTGCTTACCAGGAGGACCACACTTTTACCTGAGAAACAGAGCTCTACAGCTTATTTTACCCCCACATTCAATAAGCAGAATGGCTTTTCTGAGTAGAGGCTTTGTCTACCTGTCAGCAGAAGGATCCCAAGAAATTCCTGGCAGAGTCACTTGTCCCTAACACCTAAATTCTGCTCATGGGAACTCCCTGAATATGTTTAACAACTATGGTGGAGAATAACCAGGCTTATCTGACTCCTTGTTGCTTTCCTCCTTTTGTTCCCCATCCTAAAGGGTGGGCAGGTGACTGCGGCACAGTGTGGAGCAGTGTCCCACTCTGCAGCCATTACACAAGCAGAGGGTAATACTGCTTGCATGAAGTGTTTCTTTTTCTGTCCCCATTTTCATCTTTGTCAGCTGCTGAAGAAACGTGTCTTAGAATGAAGGGAAATTCTTACCCCACAGTTTTGTGTGTCTCCATCAGGATGGTGCCGTTGGGACCTGGCACTGGCATGGAGTTGTAGCGAATGCTGACCTGGGATTTACGGAGCAGACATTCCCGGGCAATCTTAAGACCTTCATAAAACATGGCCAGGAAGAAGACAGCCACAAAAGCACCAGCCATTTCTGACAAGAGAGGAGAAGTTATTGTATCTGAGCAACAGGGGACATTTGCTTCAAAACACACTGCGTGCGTCCACAGCCACGTCCCACTGCCCAGGCTATGGCTGGTCATGCACGTGTGCATGGTAAACCTGAGTTTCAGACAGGCACTATCTGGCACTCCACCCATGAAGTGAAACCAGTGCTCACTTTTGGAGTAAAACCAGTCAAATCCTTGAGCTACACAAAACATCTGCCCTTTTCTTTCACCCCATAGATGCCATTTCAAGCACACTCAATGCACTGTGCCTGTGTGGTTTTGGCATAAAGAGCAAGCCGGCTCCTGAAACATTCACCACTGGTAAACCTTTTGTTGGGACTGGACAAGAGAGTTTTACTAACCTCCAGGACTATTGATTGTAAGTCCAGAAAACAGCAATGGCACGTTCTCATAGCTGAAGTGGAAAGTCATTGCCTGCCCAAAACATAAAGAACATCAAGATGAGCCTGAGGAGCTCATCCTGAGACAGAGCTCACAAGGTTCAACAAAGGCTTTTGTGTTATGGCAAGCACTTGGGTCCTTTCAGTCGGTCACCAGAGAGACTCAAAGAAGCTCCTCAGTAAATCCAGTGTAACACACACAAGTGAGACATGGCCACTGATGTTCCAGGTTCCACTTCCAGTGGGCAGGTCTTTGAGGCAGTGTCCCTGGGCAGATCTGTCCTTTACAGTACCTGCTACAGGAAAATGCCTTCTCCTTGCTTTCAGAGCTCCTCTCTGCAGCATCAGAAGCAGTCAGGGACTGGGGATGTCTCTGTGGAGCTCACCCCTGCCTCCTCATGACTGCTTATGGCCCGGGGTGCACAGAGCACTTTCTTCCCCCAACCTGACCTCGTGTGAGCTTATATAGATAAAGGTTTCTGTAGCTGAATCCTCTGGCCCCAGACTCTTGTCTCCCTACAGAACCTCCTAATATCCTATGGGAAACAGAGGCCTCAGTACCGGTACAACAAGGATTATATAAATCAGGAGCACAGCTTGCCCTGGGTAAAAATAAGAGCTCCTGAATGTGCAGAGTGAATGCTGTAGGAAGGGGAGACAATGATCCCCGGCCAGCTGGGATTCATGTCATCTTCCCATCCAGGTACATACACCGCAGTTCAGCATGTCCTGACAACAGTGTTTTCACATGTGAAGCACTCACTACGCTGGAGGAACTTCTCTTTCAACTCCCCTCATTGCTTTGTGAAGGTTATTTGCTGAAGGTCAGAGTTATGACTAATTTCAGTGTCTCTAAGCAGCAGCATTCATTACCCTGAGAGCAGGAACTACAGAACAGCTTTTACAGAGCACTTTTGTTTCTTTAATGAATGTAATATTCTCATATTTAAAACAAGCCCCACACAAGACACAGAATGTTACAGAGCTCTGTAGCCCACAGCTAGAACAGGGCCTGTCCTTGATGCAAGTGGGGAATGGGAATACATACATGTTAAATGTGTTCAGTCCATGATCTAAGGTGCTGGCACCTATTTACTTCCTTCCCTGGCAGTTTTACATGCAACATTAGTTCAGAATCTTGTGCAATTCATCACAGTTTCCAGTTGCAGGGTTAGGCAGGGTCCTGCAACCACCACTGAAGGTAAGAGCACTTGGCACTGGCAAAGAAACAGCAATTAGAGGGAAAGTAAGAGATGAGGGAATGCCACTGCAAGTTAGATCAGATGAGCTTCACAAGGGCACCGGTGACACCACTGGACTGCAAGTCCCACCAGCACCCCTGGCTTTGCACTGGGCCATGCTCCCAAAGGGGAGGCAGCTCTGGTCCTCTCCTGCTATGACACTGTTTGAGGTGTAAGCAGAATAAGTGATTCTTGCTGCCTTCTTCGGGGCACACAGCTGAGCAAACTCTAACTGAAGGTTTGCAATGTATCCAAGTACATTCCCATCTGGAAGGGAAATGCACCCTCTCTGCCCTCCTTTCAAAGTTTAACCCTAAAGAGTCAGGTTTTAATAAACTGAAACTCATTCCAAAAGTACTCAGAAAAGGGAGAAAAAGCTGAAAACATCCCAAGAACTGGCTACACACAAGCACACATCCCTGGTCATCTCCAGGGAAACTCTGGCCAGGATCTCTGCAAAGCTTCTGTGCGGTCAGCACACCCAAGTCTGAACCTGTTTAAATCAGAGTTAGCTAGAGCAGCAGGATTCAGCACCAACACAGCCTTAATGCCAACATGGCAAAGAGCCCTGCTAGCACTTTGCTCCCCAAGCCCAGTGCATACCGAGTTCAGAAGGAAAAGGGCACAGGGGCTGGTCATGTGCAGGTCAGCACAATCTATCACACTGGTGTGCAGCCCCCTCAGTCCCAGTTAAGGCTTTTGCTAACACCAACAGACTGGAGAACTCCATCCATGTCTGTTTCCTGCAGGAAACAGCTTACTTGGCATTTCTGCCTTTACCTGGCTGGAGAGCAGACACCAGGCTGTCTGCTAGAAAGGTCTTTGCTGGAAAAGACCATTTTGCCACAGGCTCCCCAGCTCTGAAATGCATTTCGTGTTGCTTATCACCTCGTGCCACTCCTTCATTCCAGAAGAGCCACAACGGGGCCCCGTGTTTGGGTTTTAAGAACACCTTCCAAAGCTAAGCTTAATTTCTGATTAAACTTAAGCCCTGGCACAGGGTGCCCAGAGAAGCTGTGGCTGCCCCATCCCTGGCAGTGTTCAAGGCCAGGTTGGACACAGGGGCTTGGAGCAAGCTGCTCTAGTGGAAGGTGTCCCTGCCCGTGGCAGGGTTGGGAACTCGTGAGCTTTAAGGTCCCTCCCACCTGGACCAGTCTATGACCCTCAAGAGCACAATCTTTAAGATGACAAGTCACTCTGAACCACAGAGAAGGAAAAGCTCTCTGGTTAGCTATAAATTTTCCACTTACCATCATCATCATGTCAGATCCATGGCTGTGTTCTGAGGATGCCGTTGGGTGGTGATGTTCAGGAGGATGAGTGGCTGGAAACATGGAGCCGTTCATGTGGTGATTGTGAGGTATCTTTACCACAGAGATTCAAAAAGGCACGTAGAAAAGTGGGACCCTGAGAAAGAAACCAAAACTACAATAAGCACTTCTCTAATCAGAATATGGTTTCTCTGGTGCTACTGCAAGAGAAAATACTCTAAGCCACTGACAGGATAGGCTTCTGAAGCATCCTCTGGTCCTGCACTGGGACTACAGAGGACACAGAGCAAAGTGAGCAGGACAATTTAAAGGAGGTGTGTCCCTCTGGGCTTTACCTCATCCTGCTGCTGCACCACCCTCAACCCTCCTGCCAGCAAGGCAGCCTAATGTGATTGAGGTAGCACATGGGGACAAGTGCTCAGTATAAAAGAACATTTCTTGTCTGTAAAAGGACAAAAGAACCCATGTCTCTTCTCAATTGCAGTCATGCAAGATGCAAAAATACCACAAGCCCCATTTTAAATTGCATATACTAAGGCATCAGATGTCAATATTTCTCCTAATTGACAGTTATACATTTACTGGGGACATGTTTAACAAAGAAATTATGTTAGGTGGTACACGACCTATTACCAGGCAAAGGTCTGCAACAGCCCCAGGCAATCCAATTTCATTTCCATGAGCTTTATGTTGTCACATCTCTCCTCTAATCACATCACATGCAATGAGAGAAACACTCCAAAGGCTGCCAGTGCAGATCCCTAATCTGGTTACTGCAAATCAGTGTGTCTGGACACACTGCATTAAAAGTACAGCTCTTGGGTAGATGGGGACATGGCTTCTGCACTCGGCACCCAGCGCAGCTCTAGAGGGACTCGGGACAATTTCTGGTGTGAAAGAACAGCCTGGTTTGGGTTGGAAGGGACCTTAAAGCTCCTCCAGCTCCAACCCCTGCCACAGGCAGGGACACCTTCCACTAGAGCAGCTTGCTCCAAGCCCCTGTGTCCAACCTGGCCTTCAACACTGTCAGGGATGGGGCAGCCACAGCTTCTCTGGGCACCCTGTGCCAGCGCCTCAGCACCGTCACAGGGAAGAGCTTCTGCCTAAGAGCTCAGCTCAGTCTCCCCTCGGGCAGGTTAAAGCCATTCCCCTTGGCCTGTCCCTACAGGCCCTTGTCCCAAGCCCCTCTCCAGCTTTCCTGCAGCCCCTTCAGGCACTGGAGCTGCTCTCAGGTCTCCCCTTCAGGAGCCTTCTCTTCTCCAGGCTGACCCAGCCCAGCTCTCTCAGCCTGGCTCCAGAGCAGAGCTGCTCCAGCCCTCGCAGCATCTCCATGGCCTCCTCTGGGCTCACTCCAACAGCTCCACGTTCCTCTTGTGCTGCTGCCCCAGAGTTGGATCAGGACTGTGTGGGGGTGGGAGTCTCCTCAGAGCACAGCAGAGGGCAAGAATCCCCTCCTCAACTGCTGCTCACACTCTGGGAGTGCAGCCCAACACATATATTATGAAAAGTCACCAGGTGGAAGGAGCAACCTGGGAACACCATCAGGCTTGAAATACCAGCATCTCTGAGTGTGACAGAACCAGGCAGAGGCAACCCTCACAGTCCAGGTGAGACAGCACTGAACATAAGTACTGACACTGCTGTGCCAGACCCTGTCTGGAATCCTGTGTACCCCCGTACTCCACTGAAGTAAAACCAAGTGAAATAAAAAGCGAAGTACAGGCACTATATTAAATCAAAGTTTAAGAAAAACCTGAGATGAGGCTGTCCTGGTTTGGGCTGGGATAGTGTCAATTTTGTCCCTAGCAGCTGGTGCAGTGCTGTGGTTTGACTTCAGCCCAAGAATAATGCTGGTAACACACTGATGGTTTAGTTGTTGCTGGGTAGCACTTACCCTGATCAAGGACTTTTCAGTCTCATGCTCTGCCAGTGAGGAGGGGCACACAGAGCCGGGAGGAAGCAGAGCCAGGACACCTGACATGAAGCAGCCAAAGGGGTATTCCATCCCAGAGCATATCATGCCCAGGACAGAAACTGGGGAGGTTGGTCGGGAGGAGCCGATCGCTGCTTAGTATGAGCTGGCATCAGTCCGTGGGTGGTGGGAATTGTACTGTGTGCCACTTGCTCTTCTTGGGCTTCACTCCTCTCTCCCTTTTTATTTTCTCTTCCTATCATGTTTCACTTTATTTCAATTACTAAACTGTTTTTAACTCACTGGGTTTACCTGTTTCCAACGCTCCCTCTGCATTCCACCAGTGGCTCCACGGTGCTCAGGTGCTGACTGGGGTTAAACCCCAACAGAGATGTGCTTCCTCTCGGATCAACCACCAGGAGTGCTTACAACTGGGGAAAAGGAGCTTTCTAAGCTAAAAGCCACTATGATGTTTGAGCAGATAGGTGTGGATATATAGAGATTGGAAAGGGGAAATGAAACTCCAGAGGAGCTTTCAGCAAACAAACCCCGAAGGGCAACCAGCCCATGGTAGAGCTGGTTCCGAGAGAGTGACCTGATGACAATGGTGTGCAGGAGCCACTGGTGGTCCAGGACATGCAGCCTGGCAGAGCATCAGTGACAGAGGACCTCAACAGGCTTTGAAGTTAAAAAGGGCAGTGACAGAGGTTAAGGACTGGGGGAAGAAAAGGAAACGAAGCCAGCATTGCTGGGGGGAGAACTCAAGAATTAAGTTCTTAATTAAATTAAGTTCTTCATTAAATCAAGAATTATACTCATGCAAGCAGCCACTCACCTGACACCAAAAAGCATTCCCAAAGGACAGCTACAGAACGCATGGTGCAATTTTCACACAGCACAGCTTTGAAGATGATCCCATTCAGAGATGAAATGTTCAAGCACTGAAGTCCCCAAATACAAACATTTGGGAAAGGAAGCCTGTGCCAAGACACACAAACTTCAAATCGTCTTGTGCAGCAGGGAAGGAAGAAGAACAGCCCAAGGGAATTACAGCACGGGATCAAAGGTGAGTGTGCTGTGAGAGGAAAGAAGGAAGGGGAGAACTCCTCTCCCCAGCTAAAACTCATCTCCTCCCTCTTCTTCCTCCATGTGACTGACACATTGCTTGTGCTTTGGCTGCAACATTCCTGCTAGTGACTACTGTCCAATTCCATTATTTATTCTTCTCAGGATCCCATGCTCCTGCCAAGCTCTGCAGGTTCCAACATGCCCCACAGCAGCCCTGGCTGTTCACCACATTAAAAACTCCCTTCATGGTCGGGTTGTGTCCAACTGCTCACTGATTTACCACCATGGTCTGCAGAAAGGAGAAACAGGGGATGTGCTCTCTAGATATTGACAGGGTATGGGCAAACAAGTGGCTGCATGTGGATGAGCAGGGACCTGGTAGAGGTTACAAAGAGTGAGTCCAGAGGAAGCCATGGAGATGCTGCGAGGGCTGGAGCAGCTCTGCTCTGGAGCCAGGCTGAGAGAGCTGGGCTGGGTCAGCCTGGAGAAAAGAAGGCTCCTGAAGGGGAGACCTGAGAGCAGCTCCAGTGCCTAAAGGGGCTGCAGGAAACCCAGAGAGGGGCTTTGGACAAGGGCCTGTAGGGACAGGCCAAGGGGAATGGCTTTAACCTGCCAGAGGGGAGACTGAGATGAGCTCTTAGGCAGTTCTTAAGACCTATTAATTAGATTTTAGGAAGATGATCTTTAATGTTCCTTCCAACCCAAACCAATCTGTGATTGTATGATATTAAGTAGAATAAGAGGAAATAACCCAGACTGAGGCACTTGAGCTGCCCTTTGTGCTACTAAAGATAACCAGCATGTGGATGTATTCCTGTTTAAAAATAAATCACTTCCAGTGGAACACCCCAGTACAATCAGTCAGTTATAACTTAGGTCTCTACCTGTGCTTTGGGGTAAAACACAACACTTAGAGCAGGAGCAGCAAGAGATTCATGGCTGTGTAATATTTCAAGTTGCTAATGTGTGCTTGCTTGCACAGACCCTAAGAGACAAGCAACTGAGGTGGAGCTGTGTGTATCACAAAGAGAAAGGCACTTTTTGACAAGTCTGACTCCACACCTGGAGGAACCCACCCCCCCCACCCTTGCCATAAGTTTCTATTATTGCCAGCTCTTTAAATAGGTTTAGTCTTGTACAAACCCAGCACTCCAGCAGGTATTTTTGCCTGAATGGGTGACTTGTCGCACCCTGCTCCCATGTTTGCAGAGAGAGAAAGAGAGGCTTTGGCGTGGATTCCTGAGCTCGCCCTGGTGAGGGTTCTGGAGCAGACCCTGGGCTGCAGCAGGCTCAGGTATGTCAAAGCATTTACCCACCTGAAGGGGCACAGACCTCAGGGTGCCCCTGCCTCCATGCTGCAGTTACCACACACATTTCTTCTGTACTCTGCAATTGCTCTACCACATAAGCAAACAAACAGGGTGGGACAGGAGACAGGAATGAGGAAATTCTCTCCAGGTCTTCTTTCTTTCCCTCCTGGTGCTGTCACCCCAGGGAAAAGGAGCCACAGCCTCCATTTCACAAGTCCTCAGATCCTTAAGGAAAACAGCAAGACTCAGAGCTACACACAGGACTTCTTCTTGGAATAGGACTGACCTCAGCACTCAGGTGGGCACTGCTCAGATGTTTCTACCCCTCTGCTGCAATGGAATACCCCTGGAGCTGGGTCAGGGAGATGAGCAGCCTGGAGCAGCATCTGACAACAGCAACCTCCCAAGCTCAAGCTCAGCATCAGGTTGTACTTTCACCCTCCACCAGCATGTAACCAGGGCTGCCTCATCCCATATACACACCAGGAAGCCACATTAGCAACTCCGGGGCACAGGAAAGGGAGGAGAGATGACATCTTCTGTCAGTGCAACAGAAACAATGGGCAAATGGGCTGGACCTGCCGAGATGTCAAACACAAAGCAGCCTTCTCAAGCAGCTCTTAACCATAAGCTGATGTACATTATACAGAAACTCCACCAGAGTTTCCCAGTCCGTTGTTTCTGCCCTGTTCACTGAGCATCCTGCCACTCCTGCCACAGTTTTTCCTGTGGCAAACAGCCTTCCAGACCCCCAACACAGATAACACCTTTTAATGCAGAAACACAGGACATGCACAAACAAGACAAAGGGAAGGATCTGCCAAGCTCCCTGAAAGTGCTTTACAGATCAGCTGGGTCTGAAACATGGTGTGCAAACAGCTTCCTTAAAGCCACATTCAAAAGGAATGAAACCCCTTTCCAAATCAGAAGTCTGACAGGATTAACAACAGCCCTAATTCAACACTCATTAGAGCGGCA